TATATATTAATTTTTTTATATTCATACAAGATATGATTATTAAAGTGTGTAATAGCAACATGATCAGAATGATGCAGGTCAATATTAAAAGATTGTATTTATTAAAAATCCATTACGACAAATGATTCTGCATTCATATGCAAGATTTTTCTATCTTATCATATGCATGTTGTTACATACAAAATTTAGGCTTTTATTTTTGTTCCATGTTTGACTAATTATTTCTTGTTAAAAATAACCATACTCTTCAATAATCATACTGAATTAGCTAGAAACAAACAAACCTAATTCATTTTTGTCTAATAGTCATTAATATTCATGTACATGCATTTTTTCTAGTCATCAGATGATAATTATATTCTCTAGTTTTGGTTGCACTTTTAATCCTTGTGTAGATGGGGTGAGTAGTAAAAGAAATTCGTCTTATAAAATAAAATATGTATATTTTAATCTTATATAAGATAAAACATTTCTACATGTTCATTCATGATTACTAGATATATTTCTTCTTGTTCTTTTTCTCAGTATTCTGGCATTTTATTGTATGTTTATGTGAAAGGTCTTTACAAAAGAACATTCATATGTTCTGGCATGTAACAATATAATGCGTGTGCATATATGCACAAACTTCGATATTTGTAGACATGAATATAGAATAGTCTGTGATATGTCTATATGTACATCATGTAAATACAATCCGTGCATGTATAAGAAACATTTTCGCGTTGTCTTCCATGCCCTTTTCTTTTTATAATTAGAAATGACTGTGTTGAATGATGGCACTGAAGATAGACGCTGACAATGACAATTACTTTATCTTGTCGATATTATTTCTATTGGACCATTGTTGAATTTTTCCCTCCTGATTTATCCTCTATTTGGTACTTTATATCTGTGTATGTTGTTCCTATTCTTATGGATTTTTCATCATCTATGCATTCTGCTGTTTTGCTCGATTTGTTTTCTTTTTTTTTTTGTGCGCTATTGTTCTCTTTAATATAGAGTGACACATTTAGATTGATAATAACATGTGCATTTAAGTTTATTCTGGTTCTATTCGACGGAGAAAATAATATATGCTTTCAGAAAAAAAAACTAATGTTCATAAGTACACTCTTCCGCTAACTATATAAAGTGGAATAAATTACATACGATTAATCTATCAAGGAAGAAAAAAAAAGAGCAATGACAACAGACAATACAAGAGAACATTCTATTGTACTTGAACTTGGTCTTTTGGTGTCGTTTTTTCTTTCAAATTTGTTTTAATATGTAGTTTAATAATTTATTTGTTTTGTTTTTTTTTTGCTCATAGGCTCTTCTACAAGCACATGATGTTGTCGCACATGAAGTCTATAGTGATGATGCTATACGTATTACACCATCATATATTGGAAATAATACAATAGCACCAGATTCTGGTCTTGATAATGATTATGGTGGTCACAATGGTAGTGGATTGAATGAATGTGCTGATGATAGATTAAATGATTTACCATGTGATGTAACACGTGTACGACTTGTTCAATTTCAACGTAATACTGATGAACCACTGGTAATCTATCAAGATAAAAAAA